TACTGTCAGTTCATATCTTTGATTTAAGAGATCAGCCTTGTTTTTAAATCTAATAATTTCAAATTTTTCATTAAGGCATAGGTAACATGGGGTATATAGGGAGTTACATGTACGAGCTTTCGTAACCAAACTCCATTTAAACGTAGGTGTTTTGTTCTTATCTTTTAGATTCCAAAAATACTTGGATAATGAAGTCATGTACCTATATTCACTAAAGTTAATTCCAACCCATTATACGTGCATCCTAATTCCAACCATCCCCCTTCGGTTATCAAACATATACCCACTTCCATTGAATTTAGAATTAGCGCTAACTCTTATAATAAGGAGGTTTTCAATAAACATAGTGATTTTTATAATTCTGCACTAAAAAATAGTGGATACAAAAATACCACTATTCAATATAAAAACCCTGTTAATTGCAACCATAATAAGAAAAAGAAGATCTAGAAAGGTTATTTGGTTCACTCCCCCTTTCAATGTTATGGTCAAAACTAAGTTAGGGCGTATATTTATTAACCTAATCAAAAACATTTCCCCAACCCTGAAACTAACCCACTTAGTAAAATATTTAATCCTAATACCCTTAAATTAAGCTATAGTTGTGCTGATAACCTAGAGCAGATAATTAAAAAACATAACAACATAGTCTTTAACAAGTATAGAATTCAAAAGGCTTGACTAATCAACAGGTTACTAACTGCAATACTAATTATAAGAATACAAATAACAACTTATGTAATTGTAGGAATCCGAATAATTGTCCACTACAAAATAACTGTGGGATTACTTCTGTAGTCTATCTTGGTACTATTTCAACAATTGAAAATCCAAATATAAAGAAGTTTTACATTGGTTCTACTATGAAAAACATTCAAGGAACGCTGGCGGGGGCATATGCAATCCTTTAATCACAGTGAATATAGGTACATGACTTCATTATCCAAGTATTTTTGGAATCTAAAAGATAAGAACAAAACACCTACGATTAAATGGAGTTTGGTTACGAAAGCTCGTACATGTAACTCCCTATATACCCCATGTTACCTATGCCTTAATGAAAAAATTGAAATTATTAGATTTAAAAACAAGGCTGATCTCTTAAATCAAAGATATGAACTGACAGTAAATTGTAAACACCGTTATAAATTTAACTTAGTGTAGGGTCGTATACTTTAAATGATAATGATATGTCGCTGTATTTTTAATAGATTAGTATTTTTATAGCATAATGGTCATACTTACGATAAGTGTGTATTGTTTACCTGCATAGTGTTATCAGTGTTGGTGTAAATATATATATATTTATTTATGTGTTGGTTAGAGTATTTGCACTGAGGAATGTGTAGGTTGGTGTATAAATGTATTTATGGTTTTTTTTTTTTTTTACATGTGAGGTGTATATGTGGGTATGTATGTATGTATATATATATGTGAGTGTGTGTATATATATATATATATATATTATGGGAAGGTAAGGTAGATTATGAGAGAAAAGGTTAATAATTATTACTGTATATGTGTATGTGTGTGCTATATATGTATGTGTGTATGGGTGTGTATATATGTATGTATTTGTGTGTGTATGTGTGTATATGTATGTATGTATGTATGTATGTAGATATATATATATATATGTATATATATATATATATATATATATATATGTGTGTGTGTGTGTGTATATGGTTGGATATATATATATATATGTATGTATATATGCATATATATATGTATGTGTGTATATGTATGTATGTGTATATGTGTATGTGTATGAGTATGTACAGGTATGTATATGATTAAATCACGGCAGTATAATGGTTGGCCAGCATGGTTCACTAGATTGGGTGCGACTGAGTAATGAGTTCGTTCCTCACTGGATGCCCCTTGATTTCAGCTTTGGTCTAATGATATATTTGTATATATATATGTATGTGTATGTGTGTATGTATGTGTATATATATATATTGTGTGCATATATATATATATATATGTATATATATCTGTATGTCCTATTTTATTGTGTATGTGTATTTATATTTAAGTATATTTCTGTTTGTATGAATGTGTTTATATATTTGTATGTTAACTATATGTATATTGCTGTGTGTTGGTGTTTGAAGGTATATTTATGTATCTATATGTTAGTTCGTTTATATATGTATTTGGTTGAAAGTTGTTTTGTATTTTATGTATGCATGTATATATGGGGTGGTTGTTATTGTATTAGATATATTTATGTATATATATATGTTTATTTGTAGATATGTATGTATGTGTGTATATATATTTATGTATGTTTGTGTATATATATATATAGGTGTGTGTGTTGGAACCTACTATGTATGAGTTTGTGTGTATGTGTAGGTATGGAAACTTTGGTATATCATGACTGTTTTTTATATATCTAAGTATGTGTGCATAAAAAGTCTATGTGTGTATATATGTGTGTGTATTTAGGTTTATATGTATATGTACGTACATATGTACTTGTTATCAT